TTTTTTTTTTTAGTTTTTTAGGAAAAAAAATTCTAAAATAAGTTTCTGAAAATAAAACCAAACATATTGAAATTGATAATTTAACCAGATTCTTTGAAAAAGTTTAGATTATCTCAAATTAGCCATCTAAACTTAAGAGTGTTTTGGGGTTTGATGGGTTCATTTTGTGATCTAATTCGATAATCACTTTAATTTTACAATTCAATAATTAGAATATTTAAAATTTTTTGAAAAATTATAATAAAAATACAAATAACTAGATCACCTCATTTCACTACCAAAACTTTTACCGACGAATAGTATTATCATCGCTAAATGTTTAACTCTTTGCCCATGCCAACTTGTCGTCGCCAAAAGTAAGCACATTAATAGCGACGCTTATTGTGTTGCTAAAAATTAAGCCTCGTAGCTAAAATTTATGAAATTTTGGCGCCAACCAATATTTTTGGCGCCTAGTCAGTGTTATGCTTTTTTAGCGACGATAGTAAATTGCGTTGGTAAAGGTCTACTTTTCCCAACGAAATTGATTGCTGTGTCGCCAAAAATATACTTTTAGCTACGAAAAATTGACGTTGTAGCCAAAAGTAGCCGCCAAAAGTGCAATTTCTTGTAGTGAATATGTTCATACTTAGACATTTTTTATTTTCTGTTTATATTTATAAAAATTTTAAAAATTCAAATAACAAATTGTTTGGTAAAATTTTTTATTTATAAATCAGTAGTCTCAGTTTATAAATTTGGCTAAAAAATAAAAACACAAAAAATATGTTTCCGTTTTGAGTTTTCTGTTTTTTTTTTTTTTACCACCCAACACTAGCCACCACCCGCTACCATTTTCCACCGCCGTCTTCCACCACCACCACCACCACCCGTTATCATTTTCCACCATCGTCTTCCACCGCCACAACTCGTCTCCACCCGCCACCCACCAGTACTTGTCATTTCTCACTCTTTTTTATATTTTTAAATTTTTTTAAACATTTTGTCTAAACCAAAACGCGTTTGTAGTTTATGTTTTTCAAAAATAAACAAAAGCCAATTTATAAAATTTTTATAAATATAAACTGAAAACGAGAGGCCCTAAATTACTCATTTTCATTGAATTTGAATCAATATTAAATATGATACAAAACCCCAGGTTAATCAGAACAACAAACAAGATTAAACGAACCTCTTTCTTTTCTTCATCGTCGGATTGTCGGTGTAACCCAGTCGAAAGAACAAGGTTTAAAGAAAGAAACCCGATTTGGAAAGATTGGGAAGGACGAGAAATAGAATCCCCTATGGTTTAGGAAGACCAGACCAGAAAAAGGGCCGAGATTTACATATTTGGCAGATTGCTCTGTCAGTATTTTCTGGAGAAGAGAGGCCATTGAAGCTGGAAAGAACCCAACGGGTTCATACGCAAAGGTCATGAATTGAAATTTCGGAACAAGGGCTACAATTTTTTTTTTCTACAATTTTTTTTTTTTTTTTTTTTAGGATGAGTTTTGAGTTGTGATTTGATAAATGAGTTGTTAAAATGGTTTTGAAAATGAAAAATTTATTTGGCTTTAAATTTTGAAAATATTTTTTGAATCATTTATAATTGTTTATTTATTTATTTTTAGTTAAATATAGGTATAAGAAAAAATTTGATTAATTTATATATAAAATGTGAGAGAGTGGGAGTGGAGGTAGAAAAATTGATGGGTTGATTTGTCAATAATAATAATAATAAAAGGAGATAGGAGAGATGAAATTAAAGTTTAAAAACTATTTTTTTTTTAAATGGGTAAAAAATTAGTTAATTAAACAAATTTTTTTAATTTTTTCATTCAAATCATATTTTAAAAATCAAATCAAACACTTTATAAAGGTTTTTTTTTTGGAAGAAGCCCAGAGTCCCATATTTGTTTCTTGTTTTTATTTAGAAAAATTCTATTATAGCAATGCCACGTAATCACATTTTTTTACAATGATATGGTAAGAAACACTACAAGAAAAACGGGTTTATGAGACGGAACTATTTACGACGGCACACTTACCGTCTCAAAAAAAGTCACTTTTTGCGACGGCAGAAAATACCGTCTCAAAAAAGTAGAGTATTTGAGACGGCACCATTTGCCGTCTCAAAAAAGCAGAGCATTTGCGACGGCATAATTTGCCGTCTCAAAAAATGAGAGTATTTGCGACGGCAGAAAATACCGTCACAAATGGTATATTTTTGCGACGGCAGATGGCAATTTCTGCCGTCGCAAAAAATGACTTTCGTGTTTTTTTTTTTTAGTGAATATTTTTAAAATTTTAAATATTTTTTTTAGATGCACCTTACTTAGATGTATCTAAAAAAAAAATTATGAAAAATATTTTTAAAAATTAATTTTTATATAAAAAAAATGTATTGAATTATTGTATTTTTGGTATTTAGTGAATTTTTAAAAGATTTTTTTTACAATTTTTTTAATTTTGAGGTGTATTTATGTTAGGTGTGTCTAAAAATTAAAAAAAATACTTCAAATATTAAAAAAAAATTCAGTAAAAACAATATAACACGGAAAAGAAGAAAGTATAATTTTCTTAAAAGAGTTTTTGGAAAACTCTAACCTAGTATAGTGATTGTGGTTTTGAGACAGCTTCATATATATACAGTCACAAAATGGTTTGAATAAATTCTAGTACTTTTTTCTGTCGCAAAAAAAAATTAAAAAAAACAATGTCGTCTTACACTTTTGATATAACATTTCTCTTTCATTCATTTTTTCATCTTCATGTCTCTCTGTCTCTGTCTCTCTCTTTTCTCTTTATCTCTTTCACTCATCACTCTTCTTTCTTTGTCTGTCTGTTTCTCTCTCTCATTTTCTCTCTGTGTCTCTCGCCTATCTCTCTTCTCTCTATCTCTTACACCTGTTTTCTCTCTCTGTCTCTCTCGCTCATCTCTCTTCTCTCTATCTCTCTCATTTCTTTTCTCTCTCTCTTATCTTTCTATCTCTCTTTATCTCTCTCGCTCATTTTTCTTCTCTCTCTGTCTCTATCTTTTTCTGTGTCTCTCTCTCGCTCATCTCTTTTCGTTCTATTTCTCTCTCTTTTTGTCTATCTCTCGCTCATCTCTTGTTTCTCTCTCTTTTTCTATCTCTCCATCTATCTCTCTCTCTTTCTCTCTCTATCTCTTTTTCTGTCTATCTCTCTCTCTCCTTGTCTCTCTCACTCATCACTTTTTTCTCTCTCTCTTTTTCTCTCTCTCTCTCTGTCTACTTGTCTATTTGTCTATTTCTCTCTCACTAAGTTCTCTTTGCTCACTCTCTTACTCCCATCTTCTCTATTTATCGAGCTCCTTCTCGATTTATCGATCCACTATAAACGATGTTGCCTTACTCTTTTGAACATTTCTCTTTTCACCCATTTTTTCATCTTTCCATCTCTCTATCTCTGTTTTCTTTCCCTCTCTTACTCATCACTCTTCTCTGTCTGTCTGTCTCTCCCTTTCTCTATATGTCTTTGTCTCTCTTCTCTGTCTCTGTCTCTCTCTCACTCATCACTCTTCTCTGTCTGTCCGTCTCTCTCTTTCTCTCCGTGTCTCTGTCTCTCTTCTCTTTCTCTCTATCACTCATCACTCTTCTCTGTCTGTTTGTCTCTCTCTTTTTCTCTGTGTCTCTCGTCCATCTCTCTTCTCTCTATCTCTTTTTTTTTTTCTCTCTCCCTCTCCGTGTCTCTCACTCATCTCTTTCTCTCACCACTCATCTCCTCTACCACTTTCACCACTACTACAAACGCCATTTCACTACCACGGTCGCCATTTCACCTCTACGACTACCATTACTACTACTATCGTCACCACTTCACTACCACTATTGCCACTACTACTACTACCATTACCTCTCTTTCACCCCTACCACTCCATTTACTCTACCACTACTACAACTTCACCACTAATCTCCTTCGCCATCACCACCACCACCATCGTCTCTTATCCACCACCTTCACCACTACTGCCGCTTCCTCTTCTCTACCACAAAATATTACCTCTCTTCTCTCTATCACTTATCACTCTTCTCTGTTTGTCAGTCTTTGTCTCTGTCTCTTTCTCTTTCTCTCTTTGTCTCTTGCTCATCTCTCATCTCTCTATCTCTCTCATCTCTCTTCTCTCTTCTCTCTCGCTCATTTATCTTCTCTCTATCTCCCTCTCTCTCTCATCTTTCTTCTCTCTCTGTCTCTCTCACTTATCTTTCTTCTCTCTTCGTCTCTCTCTTTTTCTATGTCTTTCTCTCGATCATCTTTTTTCGCTCTATTTCTCTCTCTCTTTGTCTATTTCTCGCTCATCTCTTATTTCTCCCTATTTTTTTATATGTCTCTCTCTCTATCTCTTTCGCTCTCTGTCTCCCTATCTCTCTCTCTCTATATCTCTTTCTCTCATTGTTTCTCTCTCACTTATCACTCTTCTCTCTCTTTTTCTCTCTTTGTGTCTGTTTGTCTGTCTCTCGCTCTTCTCTCTCTCTCTACTACTACCATTACCTCTCTTCTACCACCGCTATTCTATTTCCTCTACCATTACCACAACTTCACCACTTATCTCTTTCACCATCACTTAACAAAAAAAAAGGGGTCGCAAAAAAATATTTTTCATTGGCCACAAAAAATTAATTTTATTTTAATAGAAAATATTATCCCTACTTCTACCAAATAAAAAAAATAATAATAATTTTGTATTCATTAAAATAAATATGAAACAAATAAATTTTCATACTTACTAAATGAAAAAATAAAAATAAAAATTCATTAACTATAAACAAATTATTTTAATAAAAAATAATTTTTTTTAGCAATGACATCCTCCGTTGCAAAAAAAAAAAAAAGAATCGTTTTATTTTTTAAATATTCATTTGTAATGAAAATCAGAAAAAAAATCAAAAAGAAAAATCAAAAAAATTTCCATTCTCCCCCTTCATTTTCCATTCCCGCTCGGTTCCCCCCAACCCAAACCCAAAATCCCCAATCTCAAAAATCCGTAATCTCTTCCCCCCCTCCTCTTTTCCATTCCCGCTCGGGTTTCCCCCCACCCCAAACCCAAACCCAAAATCCCCAATCTCTTGAACCAAAATCCCCAATCTCAAAATCCCTAATCTCTTCTTACGTCTCTCTCTCTCTCTCTCTCTCTCTCTCTCTCTCTCCTTCTCAATTTGTTTCAGACTCTGATTCCGATGATTCACGATCGATGAGGAAGAGGAAGAGCAGGAGTTCTAGGCATAGAAGTAGGAAATCGGAATCAGTCGGTGATGTTGGTTTTGAATCCTTGAAAGTTTGGAGGATATTCTGAGATTATGTTGATTCCTTCATCAAAAATTATGTGTAGTTGTATAGTTATTCATATGTTTCATGTGTGGCCATTTTAAGAGTATGCTCTGTGTCCAAAGTGCAGGTTGCCTTTTTCTTGTATCTCCAAGAGAAAATGAATGTTGTTGTTGAACCTGATGTACATGACATATTTGCGAGAATCCCAGGGTTTGGGTTCGTTTCTCGTGATTTTGAGCAACATGAGTCAGCTTCCGTAGGTGAGCACTGAGACATGGTACAATTTCTTCACCTTTTCTTTTTCTTTATTCATTTTGTGGAACTTTTGGGAGATTTATATGCTCCAGTTGACACACTTGGGTCTTTTTTGTATATATCCTATGTACAAGGGCCGTGATTTCGTGGTGCCCTTCTTATACTAATCCCCGGAGGTTCTCTTTTCCCCTAAATACTCTGCTTAAATCTCCTACACTACTATGTTGTTCTTTCTTCTATTTTCTTTTCGTTCTTATTTCCTTTTTCTCCTCCTTTTTTTGTGTGGAAATTCTTCTCTAATTCTATCTTTCTCACTATCTCCTGATGTTGGTAAGACAATCCAAGGATCCTCCATCATCACTAATTGTTTGCCCATCAACGCTTGTTGGACACTGGGTCTATGAGATAGAGAAGTTCATTGATGCGTCTTTAATAACCACACTTCAATATGCCGGTTCTGCTCAAGAGCGAATTTTACTTCGAAGTCAATTTGATAAGCATAATGTCATTATAACATCATATGATGTGGTCCGCAAAGACATTGATTATCTTGGACAGCTTTTCTGGAACTATTGTATTTTAGATGAGGGTCATATCATCAAGAATTCTAAGTCTAAAATCACTTGTGCTGTGAAACAGTTGAAGGCCCAACACCGCCTCGTATTGAGTGGAACACCAATACAGGTTGTTGTTAGTGTAAATACTTGGTGAGCATTGAAAAATAGTTTTAAAGTTTTCCTGACAAATGATTTGCCTCGTGTTGCAGAATAATGTCTTGGATTTGTGGTCCCTATTTGACTTTCTAATGCCAGGATTTCTTGGAACTGAGAGACAGGCATGTTTTTTTCCATCTGTGTTATGTTTCTATGTAGTTATCCTGAAGTAAGTTTTTATTGAACATTTAGTGCATGAGGTATCTGTTCCTAGTTTCATTTGTTGTTTGTTGGATGTCTTAGTCATGAAGAATGTGAATGTTATAAAGCAATACATAAATGTATAGGAAGGATGTAAATAAGATATTTTAATGACCACATGGCTAAGAAGCTGGGCCTGGTGTATGTGAAATTTCACCTCCATTATGGACTGCAATACGGATTTGAACTATGAGTGTACATTGAACTCTCAGACCTGTATTATGTTTCTCAAACTTAAAACTTATCCTGATAAATTAGCATGATAGTAAATATTGCATTAGCTAAGACAAATTTTTGTATATATATTGAATGATGTCAGGAAATTATTTGTGTTATGCACCACATTATCTGCGAATTGATCATTGGATATCGTACAGTGCATATATGTGTCTTCACCTTGCCACAGAAGGTTGTGGGCAACATATCAGTTATTATCCCTTACAAATTTGCCTTTGTTTGTTTTGCATGTAGATTTTTAGAAGAACAAATATATGGAAATTGATCTAGATTGAATATGACTGCATTTGCCATCCACGCATTCTGTTGTATACTTACATTTTTATTTTGTGGGTAAAGCTATTGGATTTTTTGTGGAATTAACTTGTTTGATTTTTGCATGTTCTTAAAATTATTTCTTCCAGTCAGTTAAGTACTACTGTAAATGGTTGATTAACATATTGGTTTTGGATCACTTGTAACTGGTGCATATCATTGCTCTATGGCTCTTATGGCCTCATTGCGTCATCGAATAACATGTAGAAGTGTCATTATATACCAAAAATGTCTTGTTGCAGGTAAGTTTGCTCAATAAATTAGCCACCTTCATAAGACGTTCATTTCCAGGTTGAGTTGCATGATACATTTAAGGAAGCTATTGGCAAGAACTGAAATATTAGACTATATATGTGTGTATATATAGATTGATAGATAGATATGTAGATGTGTATTTGTAGGGGATTGCTAGCTCCCATAATAAAGATAGATATATATAGGTGTAGAAATCCCTATATATGCAGTGATTCTATCTCCATGTGCCATTGGTTTAAATTTAATTTCTAGTTATGTTATGAGACTGAGGATAATTCATTGGACCACTTTGACAGTTCCAAGCCACTTATGGAAAACCACTGCTGGCAGCTAGGGATTCTAAATGTTCAACCAAGGATGCTGAAGCAGGGGCACTTGCCATGGAAGCATTACACAAGCAGGTGCCTTCTCTTTACACTTTTTTAAGCTGGTGATAACTTTTAAGAATCAAATAGTTCCATGCTTTCACTTCTGGCTGAAAGATTTTGTATGAATCAGGTCATGCCTTTTCTCCTCCGCCGAACAAAAGATGAGGTCTTGTCTAATCTGCCAGAGAAAATTATTCAGGATAGATATTGTGACCTGAGTCCTGTCCAATTAAAACTTTATGAGCGGTTTTCTGGTTCAGGCACTTCAATACTTGCTGAAACTTTGTGGTCATCCATTGCTTGTCATTGGTGAAAAGATTTCCGCTACATTCTCATGCGTTTTGTCAGAACTTTTCCCTGCGAATTCTGACATTATTTCAGAACATAAACTCCACCACTCTCCAAAATTAGTTGCTCTTCAGGAGATTCTGGAAGAGTGTGGAATAAGTGTTGATGCCTCATCTTCTGAAGGCTGTGTTAGTGTTGGCCAGCACAGAGTTTTGATATTTGCCTAACACAAAGTAATCTTTACTTTGCCTTTGACAAACTTTTTTATGCGAGTCTTATTTTCTTTGACAAATTACCTTTGTGAACTCTTACTTTGTTTGAATCGTGAATTTATAAATGGAGGAAAAAGTAATTTATGTTCATTTATATTGTGTTTATTTTTTTCATTTCTTTTATATTTTAAAATTTTATCGGAGGATAATTATGGAACATTATGTAGTTGGATAATTTTGTTGATGTATAATTATGAATGAAAGAATATTTTATTATGAAAAAATTGTTATTTTTATACAGGAATTTTTATATTATTATGTAATTATTATGGAGAAATTTTAATATTTTTAATAATTTTATCGGAGGATTTTTTTTTCTTTTTTGTGACGGCACTACATTGTCGCAAAAAACAGAAAATTTTATTCTTTTTATTGATTTGGTTACAGGTTTTACTTTTTGCGACGACGCTAAACTGTCTCAAAAAGTAGAAATTTTATTATTTAAAATAGAAATTTTATTATTTTTTTAATACTTTTTGCGACGGTATTACACTGTCGCAAAAAATAAAAATTTTCATATTTTTAATACTTTTTGCGACGGCACCACACCGTCGCAAAAACAGTGTTTTTGCCGTTGCAAAAAAAAGACTATTAGCGACGGTATTTTTTGTTGTCTCAAATAACATTTTTAGCGACAGTAAAATAGTGCCGTCGCAAAAAAGTCAAGAAATTTCAAACATTATTAGCGACTGCACAGTGCCGTCGCAAAAGACACAAATGCCATCGCAAAAACATTAGCAACGGCACTGTGCCGTCGCAAAAACTCTTTTGCAACTCCTCCATTTGTGACCCTCTCTTGCCATCACAAAAAGTCATTTTTGCCGTCGCAAAAAATTTTTGCGACGGCATTAGGAGTATTAGCAACGGTATTTTACCGTCGCAAAAAGTCAATTTTTTTGTAGTAAAACTTGGATTTATATATTGTTCAGTGTCTAATAAATCAAAACTTAACCGATGTTATACTGCATTACTGTAGAATTTTTTTTTTAAATCTCAAATATTATCCTCTATCATTTACTCGAGACCACAAAATATATAGGGGAATGCACCAATAAATCCTAAATTAATAACTTATACACTGTTTAGTCTTAAAAGTTTTCTTATAGACTAAAAGGTCCCATTACAATGTTTCAAACATCAGATTAATGTTTCGAACATTAGATTTCGAACATCAGATTAATGTTTCGAACATTAGATTAATGTGCAAATGGGACTAAATGGAGCATAAGAAAACTTTTAGGACTAAATGGTTCAACTTTTTAAAAACTAGGACTTATGGGTAAATTTTTCATATATATAAGATTAAGCTTAGAAAAAATTACCGCAAATAAATCTGTCTGTTTTATCTGCCCCAAAAAAAGTACACCCATTTTAATACTACTCCTGAGTAGATGTAAAAAAATAAGTAATATTATGAACTTATCCTTATTAATTCAAAAATTATTTAAAATATATATCTTATAATTTAGATTTATTTTAAATATAGACTTTATATTACATAAATTAATCTCTGCCATCTAGTCATTTACTCAGAATTTTTTAGGTGGATTTATCCATAACCTTTCTCCTAAAAAAATTCTAAGTACACACCCAATTCATGCTTCATTTAAATGAGTTAATCATAAGATTAGATATAATTTTCTCACATAGTTTATTTTATGTAACAGGATTGTCTTCTATTCTATGATAAATTCAAGATGATTATGCCTAATTTTATAATTAAATTTATATATTTCTACAATTTTTCAAATGATTTTCATGACAATATACACATCATCATTTAATCGAACAAAGAAGGATGGTAATTAAGGATAAAACCTTAACCAATAAAATTAGGGAGAATTAGTTATTAGTGGGATAGGAAAAAAGAAAAAGAAAAAGAAAAAAAAAGGACATACGTATAAGTCCTAATAGGTGGATTTATTGTCCAATAGGTTTTATAATAATTAATGACATTTTTTATCAAACACTATTAAAAAAAAATTACTAATTGTTAAGTTTTAACGATAGTTCGAAAATTGTCACAAAAAATGTCACTAATGATAAGTTTTAGCGATAGTATAAAAAAATTATCACAAAAAAATCATTAATTTTTAACTTTTAGCGATAGTTTGAAAAATTCATCGTAGAAAACGTCACTAATTATAAATGTTAGCATCAATTTATAAAAATCATGACAAAAAAAAGTTACTAATTGTCAATTTTTAGCAATATATGCAAAAAGTAGTCATAGAAAATTATTTTTAACGACAATTTTACTAGAATTTATTTTCAATAAGACTTGATAGGAATTAAGTCCATCTATTATGACCTATTGATAATTTATCCAAACAAAAAATTACAAAAACATTAAGGGTACAAGTGATTATGTGATGGGGTACAAATAAAAAACTGTGGAGGGTACAAGTAAAACTTACACCCCTCCATATTTAGAATTTTTTTTATTTTATTTGTTTAACTAGTAAGTAATTCCCCCATAAAACTATTTTTAAAAACTCATAAATCCCTAATACCTAATCTCCAATCTTCAAATCATAAGTTAATGAACTTTTAACCATTTATTGAAACATAAACCCTTCTTATCTCCTCCACACATCGAGTGGATGAAAAAGGTATATAGTAGGTATTGTTGCAATAATAATGTTATATTTATCACCTTTTTATATTGTTTTCAATATATCATCTCATGTGTCAATCCATTATTAGTTCAATGGGTCTCGTCACTCATATTAATATCAAATACAATAATGCTAGGTATCATGAAAATAATGTCATGAAAAGTCTTCATGAAGATTCTCCACCATTGATTAGATTATAGTGTTTGTAGTGTTTTATTGTATGTTATGCATTCACCATTGGATTAGTTTTATGAAGTTTTTCATGATATTTACTTCATGATACGTAGCATTACTCTATCAAATAATATGCTAATAATACATGAGATATATGGCACATTAAAAGTGATATAATAAAGTAACAATTATAGCATTACTCTTGTTGCAATGTCCAAATAAATTCTCTTTTGATTTAGTGAAAGAATGATTAAAAAAGAAAATACTATCATGAGCAATTTTAAGTGGAGAAATGTTATCCCATATGTTATCACTAATATTATACCATAAAACATGGAAGTATATCTTATTTAACAATATTAGACAACCGATTACATGAAGGCCCACCCACATGAGTGACCTTGACAATTACATTTGACACTTAAATCTTATTACACAAGAAAGAAGAAAAAACAAAAGTAGATATATAAAACACACAAAGCATTATTCATAGCATTATTATTCCACATGGTTGAATCTTATTTCAGTAGAGTACGTTGGTGTTGGTGGTAGCACTATCATCATGGCAGCATATGAAGGTGATGTGCTTCTCCATGACACGGAGACACTCCGGGCATTTCATGCTCTCTGGGATCCTTCCTGCCACGCTCGGGAACTCAAATCGACAACACGGGTGCGTAATCCCATGAAGCTTGTCATGGTGATCCTTAAACGATTTATCGAACCCATTGGTGGCCACATTTATTTTCCATATGTCCTCGTACTCCACCAAGGTAGGCAACACCGTGGTCCCGTGCCCATTGACCACTACTTCTGATCCTCTGCAAAGCACGGCCCATCCTCCACTCTTGTCGTAGCTAAGCAGTTTCTTGATTTCTTGCATCATGGGGTCGTAATCATCAACCCTGCCAAGTTGAATCTTGGAGAAGAGCATGCTCTCTAGCCGAGTCCAGAAGAACCATATCATAGGCTCTTGCCAGGCAACCCCCATTTTATCGTTGTTGACGGTTTGAATGACTCTTCTAACTTGTTCCCTTTTGCTACTGTTTCCCACATAGACCATCTCCAGAGGGATGCGCGCGTCACGTGCAACCGCAGTTGCTCTGGTTGTGAATCTTCGTATCCACTCAAGGTCATCCCCTCCATACAAAAATATGTATTTTCCATCTCTAACCTGTAATAAAAGACATCGATGTATTGATGAATAACAATTGAAAGTCTAAAATTTCGATATGTAAGAGTCGATAAATAGTAAAAAAATCATGAAGTAGGGGTATTACTAATAAAGTCAAAATCAAGCCAAATTCCAATACGTGTGTATTAATATCAATTTCATTATTATAATACAACCACTATATGAGGGAATTATATATATGTATGTTTAATTTATGAGTCGTGAAATATATAAAATTTGCATATTCAATGATGTCAATGACCTATCATTTTAAAATAAAATATTTATTTAAATGACATTTAATTATAAAAAAAAAATAAAAAAAAAATAAAAAATTGATGCCTCATCATTTTTGTGTAACAATGATTATTAAGGTATAGGAAGATGAAGTTTACCCAATTGAGAATTGTTTGGTCGATACCATTCACGAGCAACTCAAGCTTCCAAATCTCTTCCCTCCAAAGAGCTTCCTCTCTCGCGCTAGTAAAAGGGAATGCATTGCTTCCCCATATCCACATCATGTGGATGGCATTGGGGCTCACAACCTTACCTTGTGGGTCCAGCACCACTAGGATTGGCTTGTTCCTGAAGTGCCACTTCTCCCTGATGAACCTAATCACCACTCGATCAATCAACGAAGGGTGGTGCACCGTGTACCATGGCATAGTGGATTGCAAGCTCTCAAACTGCTTTTGCATTGGATCAGTCCATTGCACCGACCGATCCACAACTGGGATCCACACCATCTCGTACAGGTGATCCAACCTTGTTCCTTGATGACGAGAATCGTTATAAATCTGTTCCAGAATTGAAAGCTCATCCATAGAGATGTCGAGGTCCGATATCAGCAGTAAAACATTCTTCCTCCTCAGAACTTCCAGACTAACCTGTTTTCGGCCATGGAGATGAAAGAAATTAATAAACATGCAATAATAGCTACAAATGTTCAAAACCATTAGAGTCCATGTTAAAACGTACCCTTCTCTTAGCAGAACCATCAAAGAGCGGCAGCAGATCATCCTTGGCATAAATCAGCGCCCTGAGAACTTTCATGTTGTCTAAGTGTATCATTTCCATGAGACGCACCAGTGTCTCATAAGCTTCAAGGCTCCTTTTCTCCTCTGCATCAAACAATCGTAATGTTTAGTTTACAATAGTTATGTATCATGAATTTTTATGGCGAAAGTGAAGTGGATGGTGTAGATTTAAACTTTTTTGAAATGGTTAGAGCTTAATTACCTATGAGTTGGAAGCAGAGCTCGAGTTGCTTCTTAAGATGGTCATGTATGCTGTTGATCTTGTGGGCCAAGGTCGATAGCTCCCATGCCTCTGTAGCAGATGTTACGAATCTGCAAACATTGATATTATTATCAGGAAAACTAGATATTCATACATAAAGACTTGATACTTAAATGAGTTAACATTGTAACAAATCATTAAACGTACTCAAAGCCCATGCTAGTGAGGCTAGTGATCTGGGTAGCGCAAGCGACGATGCCTCTAACAGTCCAGTAGACAGCAGTCGGGATAGTGGCTATGGCCGCGGACAAGGCAGGCACCTCCTGTGTGACATATGAAGAGGGTATATCCTTCAATTGCACAATGCACCTGGTCAAATCCAACATGGCCTTGATCAGAGTGTTAAGTGCATCAAACCGGGATTTCAGTGGGCCAGAGTGTTCCATGATGACCGGTAATTGCTTCAGGAGCGCCATTGATTTTGCGAGTTGGTTTGATGTGTAGATCTGAGCCAGGAGCCAGAATTCTCCGTAGTTCAAAGCGAAAGCTGCTAGTGCAAGCACCAGCTTGGCTTCCCATGAATAGTTTGATAGCACGGTGAACAGAGAGACTGTTATTTGATGGCCGTCCATGCCACCCAGACACTTGTATGCTATCTGATAATGTAAATTATAATTAGATTTTTAAAATTAAAAGTCACTAGATGCAATGAATTGGATAAAATGTGTTACAAAATATAGTAGTTATGTATGTGCTTAAAGTAATAACCTCGCTGGAAAGTCGATCAATTATGAAGGACAGTGCCTCAAGCATGTTAATGACGCCAGCTTGTTGGCCTTTCTCTTCCAAAGTCTCCATGTGTCCTTGGACTCCCTTTCTCTACAGTATTCAAATCGCAACTAAATTAATTTTATCAACAAAAAAACTTAGAAAACAGAAAGATTTGGGGACAGGATCGAGGATGATTATAAGGTAGAATTTGTTATACCGGGACAATGCTGGTTTCGACTTGAATGGTGGAGCGGCTGAGGATGTCCTCGACGATATCGAGAATAGGTTTGACATCGATTTCACGGCCATCTGGGTTATGGGTACCCTGAATTTGCTTCATCAGAACATTGTCGTCGGACGACATGAGCATGCTTCGGTCGCCTTTGATCAGTTGCTGCATGGAACCTGGTGTCATCTTGCTCATGGCCATGTTGTTAAAGAAAGACAATGCAAAAACTCTTAAGAGAGAGGAGAAAAATAGGAAGGCTTGTGTTGTGTGTTCTTCTTGCAATCTGACTTGCCCTTTATATAGCTATCAGAAATGGAATAAAAAACAAAAAGAAAAGCAGATGCTGAATCAACTTCCTTGCTTGCTACCAATGAAAATAAAATTCCCCAACGTTAAGTTGAAGTCTGCCTGGGCTTTTTTCAAATTTTTGTTGGTCCCTCTACCCCACCCTACATCTTCACTTTTCAATAGTGAATCGACTGTGACTTGTATTGTGAAGGTTAACATATGATAAATTATTTGTTTGGCTCTCAGAATTCGACCCATTTACAAAACAGTAATAACCTAAGAAGTACAGATATTTTTAAGAATAGGATGTGTTGGTATTTGACACCAACACTTGGTGGATATTTTTTTGATAATTAGATATATGTTGACAGCTAAACATGTCATGGAATTTATTTATTTTAGATTTAAACACTTTCGGTCAGGTAAGGGTAACACGTGTCTATCGTTGACATACCTATGGAATGCATTTTCAAATCTAAACAAAATAATTTAGAAGATAATAATAATAAATAAATATAGAACAAATTATATCAGTAATCCTTATATTTTGCTCTTGCGTCACTTCGGTCTATTTAATTTTAATTGGTTCGATTTTAACTTTGAGTTTTAGATTTGTATCAATTTGGTTTTGATTGATAGCGCCGATTGGGATTTTTGAAGGAAAATAGTAGCTGAGTTGGATGAAGCTTAGTTATCAAATTGAAGAAATTTACAATTTTACTCATGAAACTATGACAAATGCCGCTCATGTGCTCATTTTCATTTAAAAAACACTAACATTTTAATCAACTGGATCAAATTGAGACAAAATTATAAATTTAGAATCAAAATCGAGTCAATTAAAATTACATGAATCAAAATGACACAATGATCGAAATATAAGGACTACCAAGGAAATTTGCCCATAAATAAATGTAGATTCTTACATATTAATCTATCATTATTTAACTTTATAAATTGTACATTTTTATTAACATTAATTAAAATATTCTTTTTTTTATAAGAAACTTTAGAAATATTCAGATATATAATATATATATAATTATATAATTTGTGCCTATTTTCCCAACATGTTTGTGGTCTTTTTTTTTCCTTCTTAAAATTATCATAAATCAGCAAATCCAAGGATCAACAAATAAAAAAACAAATCCTTGGTGCAAAGCATTTCAAGTTAAAGAGTTAGCAATAAAGAGAAACTTTACTGTATGAATTGATTCCATGTCTTTGACGTGGAATGTCAGCAACACAAATCATGTGGGATGGCAGTGCCTATGCTTTTCTTTTGAAAAATGATATACACCTCTAAAAAAAGACCTCTAATAGAGTTTTAATTTGTCTTTTTCTTCTCTTTTTTTTTGTCTTTTACTTCACTATTTTTTTTTTTAATTGCTGGACAGCTCATTAGAGCTGTACTCCAGAAGCTCTAATTAGAACTCTGCAACAGCTCCGCTTTTCTTTTATGTAGTAACATTATCGAGAATGTTTTCCTCCTTTTTCTTTTTGGTTCTAACAAAAACTAAAAGTGAAAAGAAGCCCAAAAAAAAGAGAAAGATTTGGTTCCTTGCTTCTATTTTCCTAATCTGAAGATTAATTATTACGTTCAACAACAAAAAATAAAACAAAATTTTAGTTTGTTTCTCTCAATATTGTAGTTATTTAGAGTGTTTGTGTGATTTTCGGTGAAGATAGTGTTGGGTATACCACTTTATTAATTTAATTTGGTATTAATTATAATATATTTTTAATATATTATATCTAATTTTTATAATCAGTTTGACAACCGTCAGAGTTTTGACTAAAAAAACCCCAAAATTTACAATATATTTGGGATTGTTTTGTTTTTTCCGAAACAAAATGGCAGCCGTTTGACTTGGTGGAGAGGAGCAGCAGCTTTTTGATTAATTCGGTGGTATTTTGCTTGGTTGCACAAAGAAGCGATTTGGCAGTGCATGTCTAAGAGGAAATTCCCTGCTTCTCTATTTGGGTGAATCTTTGGTTGGTGAAGCTGATTTGGGTCTATTATTTTGGGTCTTCTATAATCTGTTTTGAAAACTTTTATTCGTCTATTTAGTGAGACATTTCCTCTTAATTATTTGTGATTATTTAGAATGTTAAAAACTTTATGATTAATAGTAGAATCGAATTTCGATCCCGTGAGCGTACTTTACATTAAGGGAACCATGCAAAAAATTTTGTGTCATTATTGATTTAATTTTTCTGTTTTAGTTTTTATTTTCATGGATTGATTTATTTGTGAAAAATCATATATTTTCCACATAATCGAACCACATAATTAATTGATTGCTCACGTCTTGTGTGTGATTGTCTCTTTCTCTTTTGTTCTCTATATTTTTTGCTTGTATTTATTTTGGTTCTTGTTCTCAATATTCATTGTCAATGTTGGTGTGATTGAGTTTTCTACAGACAAAACTCTTCGCACAAATATTTTGCTACAGAGAAGCCAATTTTATTTTGGTTTCCTTGGGCCGAAGAGAAAGCGCCAGCTGTGGTCTTTGTCATCTGGGCTAGTTTTGTTTGCACAAGAACCATGTCCTCAGCTGTTTTGAATCCTGTTTTGTTCAATGATTGTGTTAGTGTATAATTGTTATGTTAGTGTATAATTGTTAATAGCTTTAATTATTAATAACTTTAGCACTTTATTCTTTATGTTTATGCTTTCGGTGGGCATCGGCATCCAATGCACCATAATTCTCTCTATAAAGAGAGTGCATTCTCTTTGTAATACATACATTATTGACAGACAAACAATATATTGTCTCTCTCTCTCTCTATCCTCTCTCACTTTCTCAAACTATTATTTCAGATTGTATGGGCACTTCCTATTCCAGAAATTTATTTATACATATACGTAAGCAAAGAAAACAATTCATTCATTCAAAAGACCAAAATAACGATAATAATAATAAAGACATGACATGAGTTGTCATTTTATTACAATGTGATGTTCAACAACAGTACAGAAAGTTCAAAGTACGAGAGGAATCACATCTCCTCTCTCTTACACACAAGGCACACTTTTTTTTTTCTTCTTATTATTGGCTTTCAATCCAGCTATGGAGCTAGAGAGTTACATTACACTTCATTTATTTTGTAATTTTTTATTTAGTAGGCAAACACACATACATAGTAATCATAATAGTAATAGTAATAGTAATATATATGTTGTCACAGGTAGTCATGACAACAACGATACATGATGAATTTCTCCATATCATGCCCACAATCGGTGCATTCCACTTTGTTTGGAAGCCTATAAGAATTAGTGCCGGGACCTGGAAACAGTAGTATGCTGCAGTTGCGTAAGGGTGAGGGGGGGAGGCGATTTTGTTGGATGAATATTCGTAGTGCTTCCATAAAACCCAAAGGCTCAACATTGTCCTTCCACATCTCATACTTCGAAAAGCAATGTTGAATAAAAAATCCTTTTTCTGTGATCATCTCTTCTGCTGCCGATGCGCCTCCTTTACTGAGCAGAGCCCATCCACCTTCACTGCTACCGAAAATCATCATTTTCTCGATTTCATGCATTACAGGGTCAATGTCAGCTGATTTTTCGAGCTGATTCTGGGAGTGCCACATGCTCTCTATTCTCACCCAAAAGTACCAAATTGAACTCGGCTCTGGCAAGAAGTGACTCAGTTTTCCATCATTGATGGTTGCTATGATCGTCCGAAGAAATTTTTCCTTTGAATTCCTCTTTCCCACATAAACCATCTCCAAGGAAATGCCTGCTTTTTGTGCTACATCTCGTGCCGTGGTTGTAAATTGCTTGATCCAATCCATGTCATCTCCTCCATACAGACATATGTATTTTCCTTGTGTTATCTGATCATCACATCAAATTTAAGTCCCCCCAATAATTGAATGATATTAAAAACACATGACAATAACATCTTCCTATGAAAAAAATTTAAGTTACTATTGGAAATTACGGTACGTTGAATGGGAATGGTAACCGAATGTGGTAATCATATAAAAGTAGTCTTATACAGGTTACATTTCTCTATCATTTTTTTAATAATTAGACATTTAATAAAATGTAATCTATTCTATTCAAATTAATAATGTAAGAACAAAATTTCTAAGAGAATTAATATTATTGAAAACTTTGTTTTCTTTTCTCTAAATTTTTAGTTCATTACATTACATATATATTTGATTTTTTTTTATTTTTTTTTTTTTCGATTCTTCAAGGAGACTTTACGATAATAATCACCATATTTTAGAACAAAGATGAAAGTGTGTAATCATATTTTAGAACAAAATATATATATATATATATATGTTTGGGATGTGCAATGAGTATAAGTATAATAAACATATATAAAATGAATATGATTAAGATATGACAATCATATAAGTAGAGTAAATGTGCATATGAAACAAATTTTATACCCAAGAACTAATTGTTGGATCGACATCTGCAACCAAAAACTCGAGGTTCCAAGGCTGGTTAATCCAGAGATCATGGTCTCCATTTGGAAAGGGATCATGGTCTCCATTTGGAAAGGAGAAAGCGTTAAACCCCCAAATCCACATCCTATGGAGTGCATTTGGGCATGTAACTTTGCCTTTTGTATCGACAACCACAAGAATAGGGTTCTTTCCAAAGTGCCAAACCTCCCTGGTGTACCTCACCACTGCCCTCTGTATCAATGAAGGATCCTCCACACTGTACCATGGCATTTTACCCCTAAATTGCTGAAATAGCTTTAGCTCCATGTCACTCCAACTAATTGAATAATTATCATCTTGGCGAATTATCGGTACCCACACAATTTCATATTGATGCTGCTTCGACTGTGTGTATATGTGTTCCAGTATCACCAATTCATCATTTGGGAATTCTAGGTTTGATATCAGCAGCAGTACATGCTTTGCTCTCAGCACCTCAATGTTTACCTGTCTCCCTCAATTTTGAAAACAAAAGGCAAAATATTGAGATTGAGACAACACTTTGCTTTGCAGCATTATTAATGAGCAGCATTACAATTGAACTTTAAGATTGTCATGCATACATATGATCTACACACAAACCGACTTACACGTAATGGTTTAAGAAATTCATTTAAGAGTTTTTGAGAATTTCCTAATAATAATGATGATGATGCTACAGTAAAAAATTACAAAAAAAAAAAAGAAAAGATCAAGAGCACATACCCTTATCTTTCTAGCATCAGAACCATCGAGAAGTTTTATTAAACCGTCCCTAGTACTAAAAAATACCTTGAAAACCGTCATGTTTTCAAGTTGAGGCGTTTTAAACAATTCTACAAGCAATTCATACATATCCTTTTGCTTCTTTTCGTCTGCATTAAAAATTAATTAGTGTTCTTCGATCGGCCCATATATAAAGAATCAAAAAGTAAAAAAAAAACATTATATGCTCTCTCTCACCGATGCGTTTGTTGAAGGTATTCAGATGAAAAGAGAGCTGGTTGTGTTCGTTGCTGATTTTACGAGCCAAGTGTGGTAGTTCCCAACCCTCCATAGCTCCTACTCTGTGCCTGAAATATTACTCGATTATAAGTCAAAAAAATAAATTAATTATTATTATTTTATTTTTTTTCAAATGAAAATGAAACGTACTCATGGTCAATCCCCATAAGGCTAGCAATTTGAAAAGCACAAGCTACAGCACTTCTGATAGTCCAATAGGTAGCAGTGGCGATATGGGAAACGACAGTGGACATATCTAGTAGATCTGTCGTGGTGGTCGTGTACCGAGATGAAAGGTCCATAAACTCAACGACGCACTTGGTAATGGCTAGCAAGTCTTTTAGAAGACTTTTGATTTCATCAAATTGGGGTTTCGATATGTTTGATTTCTCCAAGATGAAATGCACTTGCTTGAGGACTCCCACCGATTTGGCAAGTTGGCTCGAGGTTTGGAACTGAGCAACAAGCCAGAATTCTCCGTAACTCACCGCGAATGCAGCCAAGGCTAGCACCATTTTGGCCTCCCATGAATAGCTCGTTAACATTTTCAACACTGACATTGTTGTTGCATGTGTATCTACCCCATCATGACACTTGCACGAGAACTGTCATGCAATAATTATAAATATAAATATATTGCACTTAATGACCTTTTTCCTTCTGAGAAAGGTTTAAGATATCATCACAAGGGAGACTTGGGGGAAACAAAAATGGGAAGACCAAAAAACAATTGCAAAAACAAAGTTGGATTCAAAGTAATTGCAAAATGGCCATGAAAATATATGAAATTATAAAAATACCCTTCAACCTTTTCTCCTTTCCATGTGATTATGATTATGATTATGATTATGATTGTGATTATGATTTGGTTTAGGGTTTTGGCAATTTGGTCTTCTTCGTGATCTAGTACCAACGTCATAACTGGTTGTCATTGCGAGAGCTAGAGTCACACCATGCAGAGAGGGACAAATGTAGGGGAAGGCAAGGCAATAAGGGCTTCGAATTGGGGATTGGAGAGGGTGGAGATGAACTGTAAGAGGTAACGGAGGACAAAAGAGGGTAGAGGCTAACAACAGCGTGAAGGGGTGAGAGAAGAGCTATCGATGCTAGATTTTGGAGCTAACCAATAGTGGTATAGGGTTTGCAAGTAGGTTAAGGTTTACAGAAGAGAGAGAATGAAGAAGAGATTAGAAAGAAATATGTAAAAGGGTACGTCATTTTTACCCATTGAATGTTGCTATTAGTATCCCATCAACTATTTTGGATATCTCATTTTTTGTTTTATTTTTTCTTATAATAATAATCTCAAATAAAATTATTAAAAAGGACATCAATAATTTTGAAAAACTCCATCTCACAATTAAGCCCACACACCTACTACATCGTGAATTAGGGTTTGTGAGAGCACCCACCTCCATCACCATCTATCCATCTTCCCCAAATCCAACCTTCAAAACCTACTCACTCTCAAAATCTTAAAAACCCTTGGCAACCATTTATTCGGCAATGACAATAAATAGAAGTTTTTCTGGCAACCACAACTCCATAAAATGAGAGGAGTACAACAAGAAAAGCTCAGAAAAGGTTCATAACTTTGATGGTGTTCTTAGCTCAGAAGAGATTAGCCTTATAAAGATAAGTTTCTTGAAAAAAAATAACAAAAATAATAAAAACTGTTCGCTATTTCTTCAGGACTGAACTCCTAAACATAAGACTGAAATTCAGGAACATAGGCCCGAACATTGTTTATTTGTTCAGAAACAGATAATCGAACATTTCTTATTTGTTCGAGAACAAATAACTAACTCTAACAATGGTCAAACCGAAAAAAAGAATGAGGCGGCAGAGATCACAACCTAAGCCAGTCTTATCAGGGCAATTGACAGTAATCACACTTGGCTCTTCTTCTTCTTTCTCAAGTACAAAAATCCCAACCCAATTCCTTACTGATAAATTCTAAGGATTGAAGATTAAAAACCCTATATTTATTTTCTTACAGTAAGGTCATGATCAAGTAAGTGGAGATGAAATAATAATCACCTTCGTGAGTTTTGCTATGATTTTTGGGAGAGATTTTTTTTGGTGTGGGGGTGTGCATTCAATTAAATGGGTTGAATGTTTTCACAAGGATAATTTTGGTATTATTTAGGAAAAGAAAAGAAATTTTAAGGGTTTTAAAATTTATAAATAAGGATCTAAAGAAATGGAGAGGCCAAAATAATTGATCGGATGCTAATAACAGTATTATTTGCAATTATTTTGGATCTGTTGTTTTGGAAAGTTGGTTAAAAGCTGGGTTTTTTTTTTTTTTTTTTTTGAAAAAACATATAAAAAAAAGTAGAGAGAAATAATGTGATCCAAAATAGGTTAAAAGCCAAAAATTGACTTTTAACCATATTCCCAAATTGGTCCAAAGTTGGCGTGTGAAACTATTATTACTCTGTTTAATATGAAAAATAATATATAAGCTAACTTTTTAAATTGAATGATATGTAAGAGATAATTAGATAATTATTAGAGAAAATATAAAAGAAGGTTGACCTAAATATTTTAATTGATTATTATATTACTGGATTTAAAAAGTAACTTTTACATTAAACTAGTAATATCCAAAAATTATATATATAATATATGGATAAATTATACTGACACCTCTTGAGGTTTAACTTTAATACAGATTCCTCCTCCATGTTTGAAAAATTACACTGCACCCCCTATCAGACTTTTGCATCTTAATAGATGTAACAAAAAATAGATAATGACCTTAATACCCTTACTTACAATGATGAATTGCTTTATTACCCTTTACATCTCAATTCTTTCTCCTTTCTCTCCCTGTTAAAACAACCCAAAACCACCACCCACCAACCTCCATTAGTTACCACCCACTAAAACCACCAACCATTGGCACCTCCTACCTGGGGGTGTAAATTTGGCTCGGCCCGGCCCACCCAGGCTCAGGCTTCCACCAAAATTCAGATCGACTGAACCCACGGGCTAGAAAATTAGGCCCAAGCCTATGGGGTATTTGGGCCAGCGGGTCAGGCCTCAGGTTTGGGCCTGGGCTCGGACAAGGTTTGAACATCTTTTTCTATTTTTTTCACTAAAATTTATTTTTTCCTACAAGAAATGGCACTGGGCCTCAGTCGGGACGAGTTTTTAGTGGGCCTTATGTAGGTCAATGGGTCGGGCCACGAGCTGGGCCCACCGGCTGAGCAGGCTTTAATAAATGATGGCCCATTGGCCCAAGCCTAAGGTCTCGAGCTTGGCTTGAGCCTAACTGGACCTAATCGAGTCGGGCCGCCCATGGGCCACGGGCCATTTTTACACTCTTACTCCTACCCATCAGCCACCAATTCCTCTTCGTTGGATAATCAATACACAAAAAGCACCCAAACCAACCCACACACACATAAAATTAGAACCCCCCAAAAAATCCCCAAATCAACATATCCACAATACAAAATAATGGTTGCATAATCAACACACAAAAAGCACCCAAACCAATACACACGCACACATAAAATCAAAACCCCAAAAAAACCCCAAATCAGCATATCCACAATACAAAATAATGGAGAGCAGTTGGGTTGGGGGTGGGAGGACTGGAAGTGGGTGGGAGAATGGGAACATTTATCAAGCACATTGACGTTGTGTTTGGTTGGGAGATTTGAGAAAGAATTTGAAAAAGAAATGTGAATAAAATATTTCATTTAGTTTTCCACACATTTTTCCTTTCTTTTTCCAAATCCATTCACAAATCTTACAATCAAATACAACATGAAGGTATTGCAAGAGAAATATATGAACCAATCAATAGCTGATTTTACAGTTTGGCAACGAAGGTTAAACTAAACTAAAACTTTTGAAAAAAGATGGAATTTGATATATAAAAAAGAAGAGACAAGACTCGAAACAAAGATCATTAGTTTGACAAAATAAATTATTATTATTTGAGCAACACACAATATATTTGCATATTTTTTTATCATTATTCTTATACTATTAGGCCTTGTTTGTTTTCAGAGATAAAATGGAGGGGATTGTTAGTGTGGGGATTAAGTAAAATTGTATTTGTTTTTATGATAGTTGTTAGTGTGGGGATTATTAAATTATTTTTATATAAAATAAATATAAAATAATAAAACAAATAAAAAAATACAAAAATATTAAACATTAATGTTTTAAAAAAAATACCCAACATGTAAAAAAATTTAAAGAAATAAAAATAAAACAAAAAAATTTCAAAGCCCCATCAACCATCATCCCCTTTTTTTTGGATTATATTATCAAAATACCAAACATGCCCACAAACCCCATTACATAAATACATAATATATTTTCTAAGAAATTCATTACATACACACCCAAAAAAAAAAAAACAACAGAGAATGAATGGCCACAAATAAAAGCATCATATGGTAGATCCAAACATGATCATCACTTAGACTTGAAGGGGATGGCTCTGATCACGACTTGGTGGTACAAAGCTGCGAGTGCTGCACCGATGAATGGGCCCACCCAGAAAATCCACTGCCAATCACAACCAAACAAAAATTAGCAAAACATTAATCAACGTCTCTCAATGCTTTATTATTTTTACATGTGTGGACCCCTGTTTGTTTTAAGAGATGGAATAAAAAAAATTGATAGTGAGGGAATTGATAATGAGGGAATTAATATTAAACATTAATATTTAAAAAAAATTCTCAATATATAAAAAATAAAAATAAATAAAAAAATTTATAATCCCCTCACTATTTTTCTAATGTCATCTCTACTTCCTCTTTACCAATCCCCCTTCCTCCTCCTTACTAATACCAAGGGATTACAAATCTCCTCCCTATCTCTCAAAACAAACACTCCATTTTCAATCTCCTCCTCACTATCAAACCCAATTCCCTCCCCATAATCCCAAACAAACGGGGGTTAGGTTCTTTGAATTACAAACACATTACATGTGCGACTCACTAATATATATATATATAGAGAGAGAGAGAGACAGAGAGAGAGAGAGGGGTTGTATATTTCAATGCCTCGGTGGAAATTTTATCAATGGCGTAAGCTAAAGGCTCGGGCATGTCATCGAAGCTTGCTGACGGAGTCTCCGAAGTTTCAACAATATGTTTAGAGCTCTGCAATGCAAGTAAAAGTTGATTAGAAAACTCTAACAATCAAAGAAAAAATATGTGAACGAGAAAGGAAATAATGTTATACAAATAGAATTTGCATATTTATATTTATTTATACCCGCAGTACTAGAGTGTCATCCGTGCTTGTGACTTCAGCGCGATTAAAGATGTCCTCAACGACTTGAAGAAGAGTTTTGACATCAAAGACTCGGCCATCGGGAGAATGGGTTTCCTGGATTTTCCTTAAGGTGACATTCTCATCGGAGATTGTCAACTTGAATCGGTTACCAGTTGTTGTTAATTGCTTCGCCATTTTTGTGTGCTCTAGAGATGGACAAAATGAAAAACTTGGCTAGTTTAATGAAGGTTTGATGTGGCCCATCTATTTATAGTCATAAAAACAGAATAGAGTTCACTTGAATCAAACTATGTTGCTTCTAGTTGTGGTTATTGCTTTATTCTATTCTCTTTTTTTTTTTTATTATCACGGAATGCATTTCTTTCTTTTGCTGCTCTTTCTGTTTTGATTATTTTTGTACAATTCACCCCTTTTTTCTCTTCTTTTTTTTTGGCGTGCAATTCACCCCTTTCTCACTCTCCAAGGTCAGACCAAATAAGTTATTATTCTCCAGTCCAAAACACGTTGTTTGGATCATAAAGTCTACCATGAATCCTGTTTTGATAATTTAAATTATTTATTTTATCGAGTACTTCGTGTATTTCATCTACAAAAAAAATTAGGTCGATCTTATAAGAATAACTTGTTCAATTTTGCACTAAAAAAATAGATAATAATTGTGTTTTTAAAAATAAATTATACATTTTTTTAGTGACAAATGTAATAAATTGAATAAGTTATAAATATCAAATCGACCTAATCTCTTTTTTTTTGTGAATAAAATATACGAAGTGTCCGACAAAATAAACGATTCGAATCATCAAAATGTGACCTGTAGTGAGCCTCACGGGCCAAAATTTAGACTGTAGGGAATCTTTCTCCTTTTATTCTACGCTAAATGTGGAGTTCAAAAAAAGAAAAAGTTAAGAATACGTTTGGTAACCATTATGTTTACAGTTTTCAGTTTATATTTACAAAAATTTAAACATCTATCATAAAAACTTATTCGGTAAATTTTTGTGTTTGTAAATTGGTGTTCTCAATTTTTAGATCAACATTGTTAGGCTTGAAGATTCTTCACCCTTGAATTAGTTTGTAGTATTTATTATTGTTTGTTATGCAATCGCTCTTGCATTAGTTTCATAAAGTTTTTCATGATATTTTTGTAATATTTTATTGTATGTTATGCAATCACTCTTAAATTAGTTTAATAAAACTTTTTCATGATACATAGCATTACTCTTTTTAAATTGAGCTAAAAAATGTAGACTCAAAAATGTTGTTTACATTAGTTTATAAACATAAAATGGATGAAGAAGTGTGGAGCAACAGTAAGTTTGTTTAGAATAATCTAAATAAATATATTTTTTAATTTTTTATGAAAAGATGTACAATGTAAATGTGGTAGAGAGATGATATAATCTAAATAAGAGGTGATACAGCTCAAATAAAATTAAAAAATATGTTGAAATAGTGTACTCCAAATAATGCGGAAGTTATGCAGACGTTTTGGCCAAGGTTCGAACCTGCTGGGAACCGATCTTCAATTGATATTTTTATACCTTACTCTTATATTTATTTTCATCTCCATGCCCATGTTTGTTTAGTTCATCCCTCGTGAGATTGGATTGGTAATTCATAAGTCCAACAAAACGAGACTAACATTTTGTGAACTTTTTTATTTTTTATTTTTTTTATTTAATTTATAAATTAGGTGAGAAATAATATGAAATGATGAGAAATAAAACTATGTTATTATAACCAAAAACAATGAGATTTAAGTAAGAAACAAGCTGATTAGTTATATAGTTTTCATAATAACAAGATTGCCTATTAAAATACAAAGGAAAAAAAAAAAATCCCACCCGTACTCTTATATCACAAGTAATTATCATATCTTTCAAAAATTCCATGTCAACTGTATGCCCAACCAATAGTAAGGGGCTAAATGATTATATGGCCTTAATAACAAAGAAATTGTGGGCAAACTATAGCATTTCATTGGTTGGGTATATTAACACGTGGTCTTCGTGACCTATTAAATAATTTTTTATATATCACATATTTTGCTTCTTTACTTATCCAAATATATTAGTGACAAAACACAATTATTTTCTTTATTTTTCTTATCTAAATAAGATACCATAATTAGTTATAATCAACAGACTGGAAGAGTCATGGGGCTATTAATCTTATGATTTGTATGATCCTTATTGTCATAGATAATATAAAAAAAAAAATACAAATATTTTAAGCTAAACATGTTTTTTTCATTTTTTATTTTTTAAATTTTTAAATATTTTGTTCAAACCCAAGGTATTTGTAATTTTTGTTTTTTCTAAAAATAAACAAAAATCAATTTACAAAATTTTTATAAAGATAAACAAAAAAACAATAAACGTTATCAAACGTTACCTAAATGTCTCAAAAATGTATTACATGATTATGTGTTCAGAATATATTTTGATCACGCAATGCATTTCTTGTGCTCTTTTCTCCATTCTGATTCTATACTATTGATATTTTTGTGGAATTTGCACCTCTTTATAACTCTCTTTAGATATGCCCAAATCAAGGCCGGCCTGGAGGGCAGGCAAGAGAGGCTTGCACCTTGGGCGCCCAAAATTGGGTTGAAAATAAGGGGTCTCAAATATAATTTTGTATTTTAAATATTAAAAAAAAAATGCCCAAATACTATAGGCCCAATTGAACATGGAGCTCAAAAAAAAGCAACAAGACTAGATTTTTATTTTTTTTAAGTATTTGTAATAATTGCTTCATATCTTAATATATAAAAGTAAATTTTTATTTATAATTTTAATGATTATATGTGCAAGTAAATTTTTTTGTGGCTGCAAACAAATAAAAAATTGTAATTTATCGTTTTATCTATAAATTTTTTAATTTTTTTTCAATGTAAGAGGATCCCATTTCCAAAATTCGCCTTGGGCTCCCTAAATCTCAGGACCGGCCCTGGCCCAAATAAGTTACTATTTTATTCAATGCCATTTATAGATAACATAAAGTGAGATATAAGAAGTTATTTCATGTCTCAAAAATAAATCATATGATTTCAAAACATATTTTGATCACACAATGCATTTCTTGCACTCTTTTCTTTGTTTTGATTGATATTTTTGTGCAATTCACACCTCTATGTAACATAAAATGAGATACAAAAAGTCATTAAGTGTCACATGTGTTCAGAATATATTTTGATCACGCAATGCATTTCTTATATTTTTTTCTTTGTTCTGATTCTATGTGTATGATACTTTTATACAATTCGCACCCCTTTGTAACATAAAGTGAGATACAAGAAGTTATTTAACTATCTCAAAAATATTCCACATGAACATGTGTTTAGAATATATTTTGATCACACGATGCATTTCTTGAATTTTTATTTGTGTTTTGATTTTATGCACATGATATTTTTGTACAATCCACATTTATAACTCTGTTTAGATCGATCCAAATAAGTCATTCATTTGTTCTATACTAAATAGATAATAGAAAGTGAGACACGAGAAATTTTGAAATATTTAAAAAATACCATATGATCACGTGTCCATCCAATAATGAAGAATGAGAATTTACCTGACCAATATGACTGCATTTCATTTGAATGACACATGAAGTTCTCAATCCACCTAATATTTTTTTCTGAAATACATTAAAAAAAATCACAAAGAATGGACCCAAAAAATCACAAATGGTTCAAAGAGAGAAAATTTTCCATACCAATCGATTCCATGATCATTACCGTGGAATGTCAGCAACAAAAAAATAAAATAAAATCATGTAGGGATGGCAAAACTATGCTTCGCTTCCTTACCACTTGATACCCAGTTTGATCTGTAACATCATTCTGTTTTTCTTTCACGTTTTTACTTTTGGCTTTTTACGCTCCTCTTTTTTTCTCTTTTGTCTTTCTAAATTTACAAAATAAATTATTCAAATTATTGTTGTGAGTCCCCAAAGAGACCTATAATATGGTCTCACACTCATGTGACAAGTTTAGTAAAATATTTGATAGAATATTTGGGATTCCTAACATAATTCATAGAATATTAAGGGTTACAAATGATAATCATATGGAGGCTCAGATTAGGAAAATAGAAGCTAGGAATTAAAAATCTTTCCTGTTTTGCTTCTTTCAATTTTGTTTCTTAGCTGTAAATATGAGTTTTGCAAAAAATTAATTTCATTAGATATCAAACAGACACATAAATAAATTATAATTTTTTTTTTAAATGATTTTTTTTCAAAAATAATTTTTTCAATTAGTTATATAAGATGAGCGATTTAAATTACCAACATAAATTTAAATTAGTCCATAATGAATCAATTTTATCATAAAATTAAAATTTTAAATTTTAACAAATCCGGACTCACTCACGACTTCCTCAGTACTTCGGTTTGGGTAGGTTGTAAATGGGCTTAATTGAGGAAGTTCATAGGTGTGACTGGGCCTTTGCTAAGTGTTTGACGGACAAAAGGTCCAATCGTGGCCCAACGATTAGAGTTACAAAGGGAGTGGTGGTTCCGTGAATATATTTTGGAGGCCCATTTAAAAAGGTCTTCTTTTCTTGGTGCTAGTATCATTGTGGTATAGTTTGACCAATTTAATGGTATTTAGTCGGACCTATTCAACTAATACAATTGCAACAAGATTACAAACACAAAATCAATTACATAAAATAATCTTAGTCATGCATATCATATGGTGAATCCCCATATATTGTTTTAGTTAGATTGTTGTAACTATGACATATATGGTTGATTTTGTAGTCAATTATGTATCCGTAAACTTATTACTCCCTCTATTTTATTTTGTTAGTCTTTTTTTCATTTTAAGATGTCTCAAAATATTAGTCCTATTTAAAAAGTCAAAGTAAAAAATATTTAACTCTCAAATTTGTCCTTTTTAAATGACTAGAAATATATTACAAATTAAAAAAGAGCAAGGTATAATTGAAATAAGTGCACTAAAATTTGAATTCAAATGCAATGATTATATATCCCCTAGAAAACTTAAAATTTTTCAAAAAGAACAATCTTATAATAGTTTTGCATTTGGCAGTAACAAGATGTTGATTTCTTCAACAATGTGAATAGATATATGATTTTGTTTAAGGAGAGAATTAATAAGTGTAGATAGCGACACACTGATTTCATGGTCATGCATACTGGGCCATGGCTGACGATGCCGTTGACAATTTGAAAAATAGGTTTGACGTCGATTTTTC